AAATATTTAGACCTGCCCCCTATACAAAAAAATCTAAATCAACACCACCCCTTTTACCTCTCAGGGCAAACGTATAATAATTATAGATGGTCCCCAATCAATCATATTTCTCAAGCCATTCACTGCTGGATGTAGAATGCAAATTAAAAATAACACCCGAAAATGCACTTTTTAATTAATCAATTAATAATTATCTTTATTATCGAAAAAAAACTACCGGAATGTAGTTTATATATATATATTCAACCCGGTCTCTTAAAATCATAGTTCTGTTGAGTTTCAGGTTTAATCGTAAAAGACATCTCAAAATAGTACATAACTACATTCTTTGCCAAAATCATAAGAGTAAACAGGTCTGGATATTTTAAAATGTTCCACAGCTCAATTATAATTACTGGCGCATCTGTCATTATGTAAAGAATATCAACAGCTTACCGTATTTTCCGGCGCATAAGACGACTTTTTAAACCATGAAAATCTTTTCAAAAGTAGGGGGTCGTCTTATACACCGGAAAATATGGTACGTCTAAAATTTAGAGAGGGGGAGGGGGTGTAAAACCTTATTTCAGGCTAAATTAATGTTAACAGCTCAAATGACTCTTAAACAATGTCAAATTGTGCTTGAACTCAATGAACCAAATCTTCTGATAAAATTTAATGCTGTGGGAATCACTGATGAAGCAGCTATAATAAATAACTGCTTATATGATTATTTTTCATTCAAAAATGTGCAGTTTATTGAATTCATAATGGAAAAAATAGGATCTTATATTTCAAAGAGTTATCTATATTAGAGAATGCTATCCTAAAGCTTTTTTGCTGCTTTCATTTATTAATATATAATATATAATATTATAAACAAATCCTGTAAATATGACATTTTTATACAGAGAAATATACAAGAAAAATGGTGAAAGTGATGAGCTGAAAAATGGGTCACGAGTACTTGAGGTACTAAAAATATCATAATTATTGAACTGCATGATCTAGAAAGTTGATAAAGGTGTTTTTTGTAAACCATTCAATTTGCTCTAGGCCAATGTGGACGAGAGGGGTCATGACTTATTTGAATTGTTTGTATGAGTGAACTGTTCTTTGTTTACAAAGGTAAAAGACAAACCAGATTGTAGGAATTATTGTAATCATTTTAAATTAATATTTAAAAGTAAGGCCATATATAGAGAGTAGGGGTGTGCCGGATCCGTTTTTTCCAACCGGATCCGGATTTTCTTATGCGAAATCCGCCGGATCCGGATTCGGATCCCGGAATAATCCGGATTCCGGTTTCTCCCGGATTTTGGTACTATTGGTAGATACTTCGGTAAGTCAAGGTGGACTACTACTTTTTGTGTATGGGAATTCGCAATCGGCGCCAAAAAATCTGAGTTTTTAATTTTCCGATGTGTGTGTCTATTTATTATTAAATTAGTACTTTCGATATATATTTGAGTTCCGTTCCATTTGGATAAGTGTCTTACGAGAGACGCCATGTTTCTACGCGTTCGCAGCAGGTCATGCAGCTCGCTCAACCTAATTTCGCCATGGGGTTGGCCACGCCCCCCTTTTTAATGGCGGAAGTTGACGATACTTAGGAAATATTAATATATTATCACTATTTACATCAAAATAATTGATAACTTGTGTTTCAGAATGCATTTAAAGACATTTAAACTGGAATGTTTTAATTTGAGCTTTAACAACCCGGTAGAATCCATATTATAAATGATCAGAATTTACCGTGTGCAACACGTTGTCATTGGCAACCATTCACAGCCACTTGCATAACTGTATCGTAGTACTACCTCAGAGTTTCATTCATAAGAGTTTGCCGTGTGCAAAAACTATTAAACCATTGGTCAGGGAAAGCTTTAATTAATTATTCATGTGCCAAAGTTGAAAGTTTAAACTAAGTCTAAACAGTATTTTAGTGATAAGGCAGGGAATGCGTTGCCTTATATAAACTATATAGTCATTGCGCATGACGGGATTGGCGGAATGAGATCACAGAATGTGGAGATGCAGTCCATGTTAAAAAATGACAAACCAAGTCGTACTTTAAAAATTCATAACTTTAAAACTACAACAGCTAAAAATATGATTTTGGTGTTATAATTCTTTAAAAAATTACATCTTTTCAACTATGCCATTGGTTTATTTTTACAAAAAGTTTAAATTTTCTTATCAAAGTCCCTACACTATTGGCCACTATTAGCGGTGCTGACTCTAGCCTCTGGTATGTACGGAATATTAAACATTAAACAAGCTCAACGCTCGAAACAATCGATTAATGTATCGTGATCGTGTGGAATTCGGGAAAGAGAATTACTTTTATTTCAGATTATGATCCGGTGAGTCACAAAATCTGGCAAATTCCGAAATCCGGTATATTCCGGTTGTTCCGGATACATGTAAATCCGGCGGAACCGGATTTCACCGGATAGTGCAAAATCCGGCGGAACCGGATTCCGGACCGGGGTCCGGCACACCCCTAATAGAGAGTGATTGTTGCAGAAGTGTGTCCATCTTGATAAATGGATTTTCAACTTACTGACGTGATTTGGGTTTTATTTTTGGTGGAACCTGTAGTGTAAAAGTGTATTTGATGAAAAAAGTTAAGTTGGGTTCTCATTATTTTCAATATTTAAAATTTAAAAAAAATTCTTTTTGTTGATTTGTTATGCTTTTTAATTGTCCCTACTAGTAGAGGTGTGCCGGATCAGTTTTTTCCAACCGGATCCGGATTCATTCCGGAATAATCCGGATTTTGGTACTATTGGTAGATACTTCGGTAAGTCAAGGTGGACTACTACTTTTTGTGTATGGGAATTCGCAATCGGCGCCAAAAAATCCGAGTTTTTAATTTTCCGATGTGTGTGTCTATTTATTATTAAATTAGTACTTTCGATATATATTTGAGTTCCGTTCCATTTGGATAAGTGTCTTACGAGAGACGCCATGTTTCTACGCGTTCGCAGCAGGTTATGCAGCTCGCTCAACCTAATTTCGCCATGGGGTTGGCCACGCCCCCCTTTTTAATGGCGGAAGTTGACGATACTTAGGAAATATTAATTTATTATCACTATTTACATCAAAATAATTGATAACTTGTGTTTCAGAATGCATTTAAAGACATTTAAACTGGAATGTTTTAATTTGAGCTTTAACAACCCGGTAGAATCCATATTATAAATGATCAGAATTTACCGTGTGCAACACGTTGTCATTGGCAACCATTCACAGCCACTTGCATAACTGTATCGTAGTACTACCTCAGAGTTTCATTCATAAGAGTTTGCCGTGTGCAAAAACTATTAAACCATTGGTCAGGGAAAGCTTTAATTAATTATTCATGTGCCAAAGTTGAAAGTTTAAACTAAGTCTAAACAGTATTTTAGTGATAAGGCAGGGAATGCGTTGCCTTATATAAACTATATAGTCATTGCGCATGACGGGATTGGTGGAATGAGATCACAGAATGTGGAGATGCAGTCCATGTTAAAAAATGACAAACCAAGTCGTACTTTAAAAATTCATAACTTTAAAACTACAACAGCTAAAAATATGATTTTGGTGTTATAATTCTTTAAAAAATTACATCTTTTCAACTATGCCATTGGTTTATTTTTACAAAAAGTTTAAATTTTCTTATCAAAGTCCCTACACTATTGGCCACTATTAGCGGTGCTGACTCTAGCCTCTGGTATGTACGGAATATTAAACATTAAACAAGTTCAACGCTCGAAACAATCGATTAATGTATCGTGATCGTGTGGAATTCGGGAAAGAGAATTACTTTTATTTCAGATTATGATCCGGCGAGTCACAAAATCTGGCAAATTCCGAAATCCGGTATATTCCGGTTGTTCCGGATACATGTAAATCCGGTGGAACCGGATTTCACCGGATAGTGCAAAATCCGGCGGAACCGGATTCCGGCACACCCCTACCTACTAGTAAACACAGGGAGTTGAGGTCTGATGTTACAACGAAGGGAGCGAATGTAGGCAGTTGACACTTCTGGCAGCATATCTAGAGGCTAGAGGGATACAATTAAGTTGCTATGTTCGCCATGAAATTTATGTACTGGCTGAAGTTACGCCAACTGTACACTTGACGTTTCCCCTTATTCTACCACTGCCGCCATCTTTGTTGCCATGACGACATGTGTCAAAAAGAAATGTTAACTCTAGGAACAATCCAATAATAAACAAAGAGAACACGCTCATGCCAGTGCAAAACGCCATGTGTAAATCATGCTAACTACATTGTATGATTGTTTGCTGTCTTGGAAACAAAAATGGTAAGATGGTGGCCACATCAACTTCATCAACAACAAAATATGCATAATTTATGACCTTTCTCATACAAATTTATCTCGGCTCTATTCAACAGTATCAGATTTATTTTTTTTAGCACCAATAATTTTAAAGTTTCAACTGTCAACAGAGTTTCTACCTAGAATAATAAGAACTTATAGTTCTAACCAAGTAATAAGCTTTTAGCCTTTAGCTTGTGCTAAATTAACACTTCTCACTAAAAAAAAAAATAAACAAGACACCAAACATATAACTGTGGACAACAAGAAAATAACCTTGAAGGTAAGTTCATATTAGTTATAGTTTTGTAGCATAATAAAGTTTACCTGGTGTAGTGCCGTTAGTCCATCTACATTTGCTGTGTTGATGTCTGCACCCCTTTGTAAAAGTCTTTTAACTTCTTCCTTATCGCCACTTGAGCAAGCGGCTAAAAATACACAGCCATCTTGAAATTTAACTTTAACTCTGTCTCTCTTAGGTGATATTGGTTCTAAATTTGTATCGGAACCCTCCCATCGTTTGATCTGTTCGTGCCTTCTCATCAAGGCACTGACTTGTTTTTCGTCAGCCGCCATTATGTTTCAGAAGTCGACTTCTTTACTTGACCTCGGGCGCCATCTAGTGTCTGAAGAATGGCCACCGGAAGGTTTAACCGGATAAACTTTAACTTTTAGGCGTTCGCTGTGTAACAATTTTTTTGCGCTTTATATCATTTTGAAGCAGTACAGCTATTTTGCTACTTAAAAATTTACGAGATAAATAAATTAGTTCAACGAAATATAAAAAAACCTTATTAAAGACTTGGAAACTTAATTTTGATAGAAAAAATAAACATTTTTTTAAGAGCCGATACGCAATGTTATTGATTTATATTTTGAAGTTGAACGGAAGCGGATACAATTGATAATAAACAAGATGGCAGCGCTCAGGCAGTACTCTCCGATTGTGAATGACATTCATCGTACTTTTTTAACTTCGTTGTCAGCAATTCAGTTTAGACATCTGCGTTCGTCTACAGGACATAGGCAAACTGAAAGAAATGAACGCGAATTAAATGGTATAAAATTACCCCCTACACACATACCTTAATTAAGCAAACCTTGTAATAATCTCAGTAAAACGTTAAAACGGCAACAGCCAGCCGTTTTGTCTTTCTTCTTTCAGGAATCACTTTCTTTCTAATTTTTACCAACATATTATCAAACGCTAAAACTAAAAGGTTTACCATTTTTTTATGTGTGGTGGGGATTGGTGCAAAGAAATGTTGGTAAATTTGGAGAGATAGCACCGTAATCCGCGAACTTATAATAACTTAAATGTATCCCAGAACCCTAAATCTATCCCTAAACCTAACCTGAACCCTTAACTTATCCCTAAGCTGGGTTTTGACCCTATCGGAACCATGGACAAAACACGCAAATAATGACATGGTGCTATCTCTCCAAATTAGACAAAATGTTATGTAACCATTTTTTTTATGACGCCATGACTGTAATAACTTCATGTCATAACAACAGTTTTCTTACCACAGCACAGTTTGAGTGTGTAAATGTAGCCACACACATAATTTAGTTGAGGGAACGGAGCATCTATCGGGTGAAGGGGGGATGACCGCAGGTCATGAGACTTCTGCCGAATAACTATAACTAGAGGGATATAATATGGTACCTTCGTTCACCACAAAATTTGCTTACCAGCTGACATTATTTCATAATTAAATTTGATAATTTTAACATTTTATTCCTATTTTTGTTTCTCTCATCAAACAGCTAAACCAGCACATTCTCTCCCTTTCCCCTCCACGTTTTAGCAGGTGTGTGTTTTTTTTACACGACCTCCACCTTAGTTGCTATGACCCGTCACTGTTCATGGCTACCATGGGAAATGTCATGGCGCGAATTGCATAAATAAAGTGATCAAATTAGTTTAATTAACCTAGGCCTAGATTAATTAGTAGGTACTTAGGTGCAAAAAAAATTAAATAAACATTTCAGTTGTATTGTTTGCCAGAAGTGCAGTTGACTCTTTCCATTTATTCTTCAGTTTTAGCTTGAGTCTTGCCCAAACTAAATGGTGATCAAATATAACATCAGCTCCTCTTTTTGTTTGTACATCTTGTAAATATATGATCAGTTTGGTCAGGGGTGCCACTTTTCCGGGTTATCCCGGAATTCCGGATTCGTGAGGCTAAATATTTTTCAATTCCAGATTCGCAATCTCTCATTCCGGATTCACCAGTTCAATTTATTCACATACGGATTCTGTCTGGGTTTTTTTTAAATCAATGTGTAAAACAATGCACGAAAAACCTGGAAAATTCCTTGAAAATGGAAGTTAATCGCCGATCTCGTCTATTTTTAGCCTTTCTATTGCTAGAGAGCTAATGGTTTCCCCTTGCGCATGCGTTTTGAGCTTTACACGTTTCGAGTACCGTACTACTTCGATAGACCAGAAATATTTATTTTCTGTTCACATCGCCGATCAAGAGAAATTTGAAGTGTTTGGGTAAGCAAAGTGTAAAATTTAGTAAATATCATTTTAATTTAGTTTTAAATTGATGGGTAACCATTATCATAAAAAGAAAACTACTTGTCCAAGCGTTGTCTAACAAGACTAAGCTTAGCGTACTTTATGTTTTACTGTATGCAGGCGACATGTATTTTTTTATTAGAAGAGCTATGCGCGTTTAACTTTTTTTAAAAGACTTTTTAAGTTAACTTTACATTTAATTACGGAGTAAGCCTTCTAATTTTAAATAGGCTAATATGATTAATTTATTTTTATCTGTTCAGTAGTGAGCCTGACATAACTGTATTTAGTTAGTCTTTATTTATTAGTTATGCACTCCTGTTTTCTGACTCTGGTTATACTTTACGGCACAGTAATTCTAATGTTACTATTATTCATAATTATAATGCTCTGTATTACCGTAGCCGTAGTTTAGTACTGGTATAATATAGTCTATATTATTATTATGTATGCCTTACTATAAATTATAAATCTAATATGATAATATATTTTATTTTGTTTCACTATTCAGGATCTAGGCTCAATAAAATAATGTGATGCCAAACAGTTCCTTTAACTTTAAAGAACTGATGGGCATTACAGTTAAGCAATCATGATTGAATAAGTATAAGTCATCAAAATCAATGCTATACTATGCTGGAAATATTGATATCAAGTATTCAAGGGGAAAATGTCTGAGTCAATCATCTGATGATACCAGCTTTATCACCCATCTTAGGTGTCCACTTCTGTAACTTCTCAATTTATGAAATTTATGTGTCAAACTATGAAACTCTCACACTGGGGAGATTTTATAGACACTAAAGTTTGTTGACTCAAACTATTTTCATCAAAAAGAAGATAACATGAACTCCATTTAAGAAAAGATGCTTTCCACTTGTCGTAGCTATACGTTTGTTTTATATGGCCAGATAACACACTGCAATTGCAAAAGTTGACTTTTCAAGTCTAAGTAAATTGAAAAATTGCTAATGCTAGGAAATTTAATAAATATTTACATGTATACACCTTAATTGTTTAATTTTGTTCATTTGTGATGTATCTCAATGTTTTATTTGATAATTTCATGCTTGTTTTTATTTTAATCAACAAAAATGCTGCATTGCGATAATCCGGAATTTTGAGTTTCATTAAGTTTCAGGGATTGAAAAATTTGTAAATGAAGTTTCAGGTTTCAAGAAATTGTTAGAAAGGGATTTCAGGGCTCATAGCTTTCATTGAGTGGCACCCCTGAGTTTGGTTTTGTGTTTTGTTGTCAGGGGACACCCAAGTTACCTTGTGGATATTCCTATGCTGGAATTCGCTGCTCCCAATAATGAACTCATTTGCCGTGCAGAAATTTGCCAGTCTTTCACCGTTTTCATTTCTCCCTTTTATACCATGCCGCCCCATAATTTCTTCATATCCTGTTTTCTTTTCCAATATTAGCATTTAGATCTCATATTAAGATATTTAATCTCTATCTTGAAATATTTCCAGTATGGCTTGTAGTCTATTGTAGAAAGCTTCCTTTTCGTCTTCCTTACAATCGTTTGTGGGTGCATAGCACTGCATTCCATTCATATTATTTTCTTCTCTTCATTTGGAAAATTGCTATAATAATTCTTGGACCATGGGCTTCCCATCCTATCAATTTTCTCCTCATAACCTATATATATTAGTGTTTCTCCCAGGCCAAAGTTAACTGTCCAGCTTGTGTCCATCTTGTTTCAGAGATGCTGAATTTGTATTTTCTCATTTTTGCTGCCACTTATGCTGAATTTCCTGTTTCATACATGGTTCTAACATTCTACCATTCTATGCTTATTGCCTTTGAAAGGAGGGTCCTCGCTTTGATGCTTCCAGTATAACCTGGCTTTGGCCGCAAAGCTTCATAAATCCTCTTGGGAAATTTTTTAATGAAAAAGTAAAATAAAAACTTAGGTAGGGAAATTAGTTTCTTGTCTTTGTGTTATCTCCCATTGTTGATTCGCCTCATTTATTTAAAGCCTCCAAACTTTTGGTATTTTTGCACTGATTATTTACTTTGGAATCCTATGGAGAAATCTAATTAGGAATGTTAGGAATCTCTAATCACTAAATAGCCTTGAGTTACACTAAGTTACAGAAAGTTGTTCTTAAATACCAAACATAAGAGTCCCAAGTAAAAAAAAAAATGTTTTGTTTATGTGATTGATATTCACTGATGATTTTTAAAAATATTTCTATAGAGTGCAAACAAAAAGAAACCAATGAGTCTCTTCTAACTCAAAGTATAAATATTGTAATTAATTATAACACAAATATAAAAATCTCAAGTCTCCTTTCAAAAATTAAAAAAATGGATGTGCTGAAATCTTTTCTAATAAACAAAGTTTCTTGTCTAAAAGTTCTGATTTTCTTTCTTAAAGGCTTCACCAAAAACATTTGTATCATCTCTTTTTTTTAGATTCAGATTCTTTCAGAGTCTATGAAATTGAAGGTCTACGAAAAAGCAAGGAAGAAAAAAAAACTAGGAGAGTTGCACCAAAACCTTTTGCCCCAAGATACCGCTCAATGCCAGTGGATCAAGACTGGACTAATGTATGGCCCTCTGCAGCAACATTCAAATGGGCAACAGTACCATTTCCTGTTAGGCAAGGATATATCAAGGTGTGTTTACAACATGGTAATGTTTCTCATTTTTTAAATATCTTAAAACAACTATGATGCACATCAGTTGCCTCTGTTTAATTTATTTATTCAATTGAAAATTATTTATAATTTTTGTTGCTTCAAATAGTAATTAAATCAGAGAAAATCATGTCATGGTTATATTTAATACATTTAAAGTCAAAGATCATTCCTATTCTAACATAACAGTCATTTTGTTTACTTAGTCATCTGCTGAAAATGAAGGAGTGATTCCAGCAAAATATGGCAATTTAGAGTTGATGAAAGGACCAAACTTTCTTCATCTTACACCAGCTCACATAAAAAAGCATTGTGCTGCTTTGAAGAGTAAGCACATCTCATTTATTTTGCCTTTTTAACAATTAACATTGCTTCATTATGTCTTTTTTTTTTGGTCATCGGTTTACCTTGTAAACCATTTAACTCTTTTAGAACTTATCTTTCCTATTAATTATAAAACCGCATCTTATTTCTCTGTTAGTACCCTAAGCTACAATGTTTTTGCTTCTGCATTATACTTCCTACTTTGTTGTGAGGATAAACTGGAGCAAGTGTGTCCATTGAATTGCCTGCGGCTAAGTCCTATTCTGTACCCCATGGCAAAAGAATAAAATTACTTATAATTCAGTGTATTGAAGTAGTGCCAGGTCTGATACATTGCATTCACTAACAAAAAATAAGAATCAATCTCTATCCTAAAATTGTTATTTTTAAGGAATGTAATTTAGCTCATGCTTGTTTTAATGGATGAGATCCAACCAAATGGTTTCCCCAGAAATGTTTGCCTAAAAAGATTTAACACCACTGAAATATTAAGGAATTTTTGCTTTCACTTTCAAATTTGGTTTCATTGATACAGAATTTTGCACTCCTTGGCCAGAAGGTCTTGAAACTGATGGAAAATGTCGTCATCACTTCCCAGTAGAGTCTATCACAAGTGACTACGTATTTGCAGCACCTTCAATAAGAGATGAAAGAGCAAGATTTGTAACTATAAAGGTTTGTTTTTTTATTAGTAATCAAGTTTAATGTTGTATTCTGTTTGAATACAAATGGTTTAAAATTGAAAAATTAACATTAATTTATTTTTAAATCCACCATTGACTACAGTCTTTGGCCTGTAACACCTAATTAAAATCTTGCTCTTTTCATTTTAAATTTTAAGGAATAATTGTGTTTATTTTTTTTAATTTTAGGACTATAAATAACCCACCAAACAAAGGTGGCAGCAATGCATGAACTTCTCATCTACCAAAGTTACTTGAAAAAACATGCACCTCAATTAGTAAAATAAATAAAAGCACTGTTGTTGTTTTTAAGAATCCTATTTAGAAATAGGAAATTTATGGTGTGTGCTACGGAAACCCTAATTGTGCAATTTTTGTGGAATGTTCTTTTTTTGCGCACTTTGAACACAGCCTTACATATATTACCTAGAGAATTATTATTTGCGATCATTTCATATTAAATTTAAATCAATCTGGCAAGATTATTGTGTTAATTTTCTCCATGGCATTAAAAACTATTATGTTATATTATTTCTACTTGTTTTCACCCATCCAAAATAGCAGAAAAGGGCACTTAAATAATTGTTCTAATTTCACTTTGTCGTCCTTATTTTTGCCTCATTCAATTTTACCTTTCAGTTTTACCTGTCAGACCTTGAACTAGATTATCATGCAAGAGACAAGTTTATTCGATTGGTTGGAACTCGCTACAACAAAGACACAGATGAAGTAACATTTGAAAGTGGCAGGTAGGTTACTGTATTGTTACTTCTTAAATTTTGATGGCATTAATTCTGGTAATTAAATAGTCTTTTAAAAAATTTAAGCAAGTGAAGTGGGTTGTTAATAAGTATATGAGTGTAAGAACAACTCATTTTATAATGAGTGTATGAGAGTAAGATTATTGAAGTTGATAATCATTTCTAAGTGTTTTTAAAATGCAATAACTGTACTTTTTAAAATATTTTAGATGCCCCTTGAAAGCACAAAACTTAGACTTCCTTAAATTTGTGCTAACTGCTCTTTACTTTGAGTCTTGGGTAAGTAGATATACTCTTTGCTAACAATGAAAAACTCAAAAAGAAATGTTTTAGACTGCAAATGGAAAAGTTTCCCCGGGGGCAATGCCTGAATATTGCACCCCCCTCCACCCACCCACTACCCCCAGCCTGAACATGGCTCTGCACCCCAACTCTCCTTTTCATCAATAAATGATATATGTTACACAAACAAAATATAAAATATGTTGTTTTTTTTTATCTACTACAATTGTGCCTATAATAAGCTAACTAGCACTTGCACTTAATGGTTAGAGTTTTTGCCTGTAGAAAAAAATGTACCTCTTCCATATAAATTTTTAAAGATGCCGATTCAGTGGTGTTGTTTTTCAGGATAACATCTCAGTACTTTTTATGTGACCTCACAAAATGGCATTAAATATTAGGTTTTAATATGAAACAGTCTTGGGGGTTTTGTAGGGCTATAGAACTTTGAACATTCATGAATATGGTGTTGATTGCTTTTCAGTTGATTGAATTAGTGTAATCAGATTTTGCTGGCTGTATTGGAACAAATTGATGCATTTATTACTTTCTGTTACATGCTGAGTTAAAACTTCAGTTGTTCATCTCTACTTATATTATCACAAAATATCATTTTTAAACACATTTTTAAAGTTTTATTTGTATAATGTTAGGGAAGATTTGGTGGAAAAAGGAACATAACTTATAGTTTCTTTATAAACTTTGTTTTATGGCTCATGCTTGTGTTAGTATGACAATAAAACTTCACACTCACAGTTCTTAATCATCATTTTATTTTCCAGAAATATGAGAGTTGGGAAAAACTCAAAGAACTATCTGATATGGAGAGATATTTTTGGGACCTGAATGCTTCACGAAAAAAATGTACTTCATTGCTGAGAACAATCAAATCTTTAGATGATGTGAGTTGTTGTGTTTAATATAACTGTTGGTAGTCATGCAATAATTGGTGCCTTATTTGTAAAAGAGTTGTCTGCCCTAAATGATGTGAAGTCCCATTGATTTCCTTACACAAAAGTGTATTTTAAAACTGACTTAATCATATTTAATTTTTAAAGATAACATTACGAAATTGAGACTTTTAAACTTGAACATAGCATAAAACTTAGGAATATGCTAATAAAGATAGTAAAAAGACATTTTCACATGAAAAAATGTTGTGCTTTACAAGTAACACCAATAATTTTTTAAACCTCAAAAGTTTTTAAAAATTTATTGAGACATGTGGACACACTGCTGACATCTTGCTGCCTTGAATTCAGTCTAGTTTAACTGTTACAGGAAAGACTGTGTGTGGTAAATTTTATAGCATAGACCTGATTGATCGAGCACTATTGTTTTTAGCATACATTACAAATAGGATAAATAAGTTTTGGCCTTTTTACATTTGTTTTAGCACTGCAAAAATCTGTAGTTCAAATTTTACATTATTAAATAATGTTATGACAAGTGGTGTAGCGTCTTCTTCTTCTTCTATATTTTGAGGACCCACAATCAATGTTTTGATCCTTCTGTCCCCATGGGCCCCCAGCAACTTTATGGAGAGGCCCCACTCCAACAGTTACTGAACTAAACCAGTTAATGCATTGTAAACCTGATTGTGATAACATCATTTTTATTAAGTCCATTTGATAGTTTAAAGATCAATTCAGTAAATACAGGAATATTTTTAAAATAATTGAAAATATGTTTATGTAACCTGTTGCTGTATTATTTGTTTGTCCTTTTTAAATAAAATCTTAATTGTTTTCTGTTCCCAGTCATCCGAGTCAAATAGTGACAAGCTGAATTACCTCCCTCCAGATGTTTCTGACGATGAAGCTCTATGCAGCTTACCTGAGGTCAATAAGTACAAAGTTGCCATTGAGGAAATATTTAATGAAGGGGAAAATATTGACACAATAAACCAATATAAAAATGCTGTGAAAACATTGCTAAATATTAATAGTGATGTTGTTTAAATTAAATAATCTTGTGTAAATATATTTGTGTATGTAACAGTGTGGCAATAAGACTTCTAAAGATAGCATTTTCTGTTCCTTTGAAAAAGTTTGTTTCAAACTTATTATAAAATAAAATTTATGTTTAAAGAGATTATTGCCTAGGGTAAAGTTATTATGAGATAGATTGATTTCAAACTGATTTAATGTATGATATTCCAGCTAACTTTTGCATTGCAACAAATAAGTTTGAAAAGCTTGTGGTCAATTGATGTATGAATTCAAATGAGATGCAGTCTGATAATGTACTGTGGTGTTCAGGTTGGCTGTATGTTCATTCAATCCACGTTGTAACATAAATGCTTTTTAATAAATATAATGTGCTATAGAAAAATCCAAAGTTATCATTTTATTTTAAAATAACTTTTTGTTTTCCTTAAGTGAGTTAAGTTATAAGCTATATTTGTTTTTTTTAAATTATTCTTTCTATTTCATTATGATTTCTTATAGACTAATTTTTTCAGTACAGTTCATAGAGATATATACCGATATAGATATATAGATATAGATATATATATATATTATAATATATATATTAGAATATATATATATATTTATATTATAATATATATATATTTATATATATATATATATATATATAAAGGGAAAATGAATTTAATTTTTTTTTTTCTATTACACCCTTTAATTTCGTCAAAAATTTTTTTACACCCCCCCCCCCCCCCCTTTTCCTGTCAACTGTCAGACTTTCAATGACCCTCCCTAAGTAATTACGTCAACATTTTTATTACCCTCTACCCTTTTAAAAAAGATAATATAATATAAATAAATTTATAAATACATTTTACTTTGTGCTGATCTATTTATTTTAATAACACAAAATGGTAGGAAAAACATTTTATTGCATCTTTAGCTTGTTAATCAACAAGTTCATATTTTATATAACTAAAAACTAGATCACTATTTTAATTTACACTCCTTACATTTTTTTAATAAAGTAATAACCAGTCAATTTTTAAGATAAGAATTTTAATAGAGAAAACATTGTTGACGTCAGCGAATCTACCACCCCTTGTCAAACATTTCCAACCCCCCTTTCCAAATGAAAAGAACAAAGTTGTTTCAGAATTATTTTTTTTTAAAGTTAACATCTTAATTTACTTCACATTCATGTTGATCTATAATTGGAAAACATGTTTTTCTTTTAAGAAATCTTTTCTCTCTTAAGTTATTTGTAAGTGAAGCTAAAAAGCTTTTGATTTGGAAGCTAAGCAGCAATGGGTGAGAAATGAGATAAAAACAGAACTGTTTTAATTATAGTATCATCTGTCATAGGAGGATTTCATTTACTAGTGCTAGTATCATCTGTCATGATAGGATTTACTAGTGCTAGTATCTGTCATGAGATGATTTACTAGTGCTAGTATCATCTTATATTGGAGGATTTACTAGTGCTTGTATTATCTTATATTGGAGGATTTACTAGTGCCGCATCAAGGATTCCACACAAAAATCTATTACAAATCAATAAAGTACAACTGTTACAATCTGCTCAACCTTGATTAATAACCAATAAAAACATGAAGGGTTCTCAAGCGCTAGACTTCACTTACTTCCTCCTACTTCTTTTTTCCCCGAGACCTGGCAGCATTTCTTCTTAACCAGCCGAGCAATATTTGGCTTGGGTGAGGAAGCAATTGAGATCCTAAGTATAGCTTGAAGATGCTCATCGGTAAGTTTGTCCCTGAATCAGCAGAGCCGTTCTTAGGAGTTTTAGGGGCCCTAAGCATGGAGCCCCGGAAAGGGGGAGGGGGGGCTTCCCTTCCCCTGCCTCCGAATTCAACTCAGAATGATAAATTTCAGGATGAGGAAGGTAACGTGAGTGACACAGACGGCTGCAGTGCCAATTAAAAAAATACCGGGGGATCGAGGGTGCCTCACGGGGGCCCCCTCACGTTCGGGGCCCTACGCGGATGCGTAGTCAGCGTATGCCTAAGAATGGGCCTGGCCTGAACTTTGGCTTGCTAAAGTTTATAGTGGAAAAGAGCTTTTCACACAGATAATGATCAGCTTGTACAACCTGGAAATCTCAGAGAAGTTGGACGGCAATGCTCTCATCAATTGTCCATGCTTGTATGTTTTTCCATTCACCTCCCTGAACTTAGAATTGCAATGAAGATCAATCAGGTCCATTTAAAGCACACACAAAAAAAGGGAAGGGGGGGGGGCTCCACATTGAAGGAGAAAGGGTCATCAAAAAGGGTCAGCTCTGTGTGTTTTGAAGTCTGCAAACCGGCTGTGATCAAATTCTTCCTGTTGCTTTGCAATGTCATTAGTATGCTCACTACTGAATGGCGTGCCCGAGTCCATGAGTATTTTGCATGTTGGGATAGGCAGAGGTTGCCCTGAGAAAGCTGGGCGGCTTTCCATAACACACATTTTTGTGCAGAATGCCCTGACATTGTCATAGGCAACACTGACAAGCTGCCCATGGTCTTGTAACTGTCTGTTGAGTACATTCAGCTCCTGGGTAATGCCAACAAGAAAAGCTAAGTCCGTGAACCATTTCGGATCATTTGGTAGACGAAGGTTTTAAAAGCTAAAACGTGTTTCAATAGTAGGCAGGGGCAGGCAATAGGCAGGGGCAGGAAATAGGCAGGGGCAGAGACCATTTCATGAATTATTGATACGAAGGACGACGCTATTGCAGGGAGAATGAATTTTAATTATTTTTTTTGAAAGTGACCCATGCAGCTAACAGGCTCGGAAAATTATTCACTCGTCACTCGTACACACTAGCGGTAATTTTGATAGGAAATTTTTATACTGTGTCAGATTGCTATGATTTACACAATTATGATTGTGTATTACCCACTAAATGACTTTTAAACTTTTCTCAGATCCGCACTTTGGCCGCCATGTTTGTCTCATAAAATGCTATAAAATATAATCTTTTAGTCCTATTTTAAAATGGTTTTTACTATTATAATCAACGTCCAAATCTATAGAGTATACAAACATAATAAAAATGAGACTTGGACTAGTTGGTGAGATTCTATTGAAACCGTCGCGGAGAATCACATTATAGATATGAGGATGGGGGAAACCCACGGGCCGCATTAACACATAAACTTTGCTGTCATGTAGCGGGCCGCAAAATATCGTCTTGCGGGCCGCAAATGGCCCGCGGGTCGCGAGTTTGAGACCCTTGTTATCATATAGGGGACATCCACTTGAATTTGAGTTCTTAATATTTACAAATGCATGGCTTGTTCAGGTGGTATCTATTCAAGTGTCTCTGCATGGCTTGTTCAGGTGATATCTCTTCAAGTGTCTCTGCATGGCTTGTCCAGGTGATATCTCTTCAAGTGTCTCTGCATGGCTTGTCCAGGTGATATCTCTTCAAGTGTCTCTGCATGGCTTGTCCAGGTGATATCTCTTCAAGTGTCTCTGCATGGCTGTCCAGGTGATATCTCTTCAGGTGTCTCGTCAAGCTTCGTTTTCGTGAGAAGTTTCTCTGGCAAATCGTACAATGGAACCGGACCTTAAAGTGGACCTCGGCCACGTGCCTTTTGGCGTCGCACTTCCGTTTGAACAGCTTACCGCAGAGACAACAGTTGGACAGGTGATCGGGTTTATAGTGGTTATCGAGACGTCTGACCACGCCCAATTCGCTTATGATACGCTCCTGGCTGTTACGCGCGTTACCCCCTCGCGTGACATACAAAGGTGACCCTCTGTCACAACACCACGCCCAGTGCTTAGTGTTAGAGCAGAGGATTCGGTCAACGTTCACCCATCCGTGTGACGTAGCTGTGTCATGTTCCACGTGCTTCCTGCGTGACGCGGCTATGTCACGTTCCACGTGCTTCCTGTAGTGGTGGAGGAGACACTCTTCCATGACAAAGAACTGCCCGCATAGGACACAGTTGGATGGACGGAAGGGGTGGTGATGCTGTCTGTGTTCTGTTGATTCATCCAACGACAGGAAACTGGTCCAGCACGTGAAGCACTCAAACGTCCTGATGGCGCTGATATCCATCATAGCGTTGGCTTTCTCTTAAATAAGGCCAAGCGTTCTGATTTTAAATACAATAAGATGTGTCGGTGGTCGGATCGTCCATAAAGACCTGTAGAAATACCAATAGTTAGATGATCTACTGACATGTCCATTTTATATAAAATTGCATAGTCAGCTAACAAAATAATGGGGGTGGGTTGGGTGGTGGAATAACTTAACACGAAAATTCACATCAATTCCATACCACAAATGTATGCCGTGCATCAACTCCGTACATCAACTCCATACATCAACTCCATACAACAATTCCATACATCAACTCCATACAATTCCATACAACAACTCCATACAACAATTCCATACAACAATTCCATACATCAACTCCATACATCAACTCCATACATCAACTCCATACATCAACTCCATACATCAACTCCATATATCAACTCCATACATCAACTCCATATATCAACTCCATACATCAACTCCATATATCAACTCCATACATCAACTCCATACATCAACTCCATACATCAACTCGATACATCAACTCCATACATCAACTCCATACATCAACTCCATATATCAACTCCATACATCAACTCCATATATCAACTCCATACATCAACTCCATGCATCAACTCCATACATCAACTCCATATATCAACTCCATATATCAACTCCATACATCAACTCCATACATCAACTCCATATATCAACTCCATACATCAACTCCATACATCAACTCCATATATCAACTCCATACATCAACTCCATACATCAACTCCATGCAACAATTCCATACAACAATTCCATACAACAACTCTATACAACAATTCCATACAACAGTTCCATGCATTAATGTTCAGAGTAGGAAGTGCCCTATTTTATTGTTAGAAATCTGCGGGGATGACCTGACCGAATGCCTCTAGGTCAGGGACCCACACCACCGAGGCGACTCGGCGATGTCACATGGGATCTTGCCTCTTCGCGGCGTGGCAGACCAGTAGGGAGGGTCACTCCTGAAACTAAAAGATCCCGGCCACTGGCATGACTTCCAACGCAACGGTAGAAACGCACTAACATGATTACTTGTCGCCGATAATGGATATGAGGCTTTGGTGGCAGCAAAACCCTTGCCGAGGATTTGAAATACGCGGCCCTGAGAAAGCCGCTCCTAGGCGACCGTTTCGTCCCCGCTACGCTACGTCTAGACGGACCAACTCCCTGGGCAGTTGGGGGGGGGGGAGCGAAACGTAACACCTCTCCCCCGGAGAGGAAGTAAATCCGTTCTGACCCACGGAGAGTGGACTGTTCACACTCTGAAAGGGGTGTGTATGGTCGACCGGACATTC